GCCTATTCACAGTTTTGTTAGCCTCTGCAAAATATCGCAATAAATATCTTACCGTGAGATGCATATCGTGAAAATACCGTATCGAGAGATTTGGATATCCTTACATCTCTAATCAAATATCGTAATGTATTCCTTTGACTTTAGAAGAGTATCGCTGAGTACCACCAAATGAAAAAGTAACTGTACTGGAATACAGTCACTCAAAATTTGTATTCAGAGTTCGTATTCTCATCACGTGTATTCAGTTACTTCCCAACACTAGACACCACAATTGGCTCTTGAAATAATGGTTAAAAATCCCCAAGTTGGTACTAGTGATCAGCCATCAGTTTGATGTGACTCCATTTAAATGTAATGAATTGCAGTGCCCTAGTTGTAGCCTAAGCTGAAGGACACGAGAGGAGCCGTGTTACCTGCCAGTGCCAGTGCAGGGGAGTTGTAACCACAGGGGGCACATAACAACAACATCTGCTGTAAAGAGCCACTAATGGACAATCCCTCCTCTCATTTATCTCTGTATCCTCATCGACTGCATAGGGCAACAAAAGACAGAAGTGGGCGGAGTCAAGAGAGGAAGCGCCGTGCATTGACTGCCATGGTGCTGGATGCTGCCGGAAGATTAGTTTTGGTCCAGTAGCGAAAGATGATAAAATAGGAAAGAGGGAGGAGAGAGTGAGAGTGGAGGAGAAAAAGAGAAGGATTAGTGCCACTTCAGGAAGGACAGAGGGAAAAGTGGAGTGAAATTTTGAGTCAGGATTAGTTTTGGTTAAGAGAGAGAGAAGAGGGACAAATGACAGTAATAGGATTCAAATGTTGGATATCTTCTCTGAGGTTTAAAAATACTACAGTAATTAGGAAAAACAATATGACAGCCACTCTAATATGAACGTAATGCTGATAGAGATGTAACAACCAAAATATCGATATCGTATCGTCAAAAGTCTCACAATAATATCACGGGCTGTCACAATATATCGAATTACAAGTTCCTTTGCTTAAATGCATGGTTTTAAAGTAGCTTATCAACATCGGGAACTACATATCCCATGATTCATTTCAGTGCAAACAACATGAAGAGATATGTTTTTTACTTAATTTCTTGGGATTACAATGGAAATAATTCACACCAAAATCTTGTCAAGGTATTTTAAAAGCAGAAATGTGTCCTATCTACAATTATATCAGCCTCTCCAAAATATCTCAATAAATATCGTACCGTGAGGTGCATAACGTGATAATATCGTACAGAGAGATTTGGATATCGTTACATCCCTAAATGCAGATCATTTGCTTGTGTTCGTGTGCGTGTGCACCGATACTGATACTGGTATTGAATATTGGCACCGATACTGAAAAATTAGCTGGATCGGATATCGATTCATATCGATCGATGATATCAGTTAAGCCAATATTCCAATTGAGCCTTTCACTGAGTTGAATAAGACGATTTACAGGGTGATTTTGGCTTTGGTCTTATAATGTTTGAACTTTTTCACACAAAGCTCGGTTTAGTAGCTATTTGATAGATAAATAACAGTTGTAAAACACAATTGGATCTCTTGTGTAATAAATTAAAAGTGGAAATAAGTGCCATTTTCCATCCCTACTCTGGTATCGCTTATTGACAAATCCCTAAAGTCAAAGTAGCTGGAACTGGAGCTGGATTGGTGCGTCCTTACTCTGTGTGTCACATTTTCTCTAGGTATGTTTCTGCTCCCCAAATTCATTAACACATGACAATATAAAATCAACCTTTGGGCAATCTTGTAGAAGTCATTATGTTGTAATTTGATGCTTTTTTGTGTAATAACACGCTGTGCTACAACACCAATTTATCTAACTGGTCGACCTCATCATGCGCTGAGTGACAAGAAGATTTAACCATAATACTTCTACAAATCTAAGTCTACAAATACTTTTATGAAAATTATGACATTATGTTTTTTTCAAACTGTATCACTAAGGATTCATGATTTGGAAATATTATCTCATTGTGATTTTTCAGACAAGTATTATGACTGGAATTAGATTTGCAATTTATGTTTTAGTAGCATGATTAAACGTTCACATTTTAATTGCGTCCAGAAGAACTGACAAAAACGGAATATGAACTGACAAACTAATACACTTTTCAGAACTTGTTTGTATACAGACGTAAACTATGGGGCTGTCCGTTTAGTCTTTTGTCGAGGAAATTATGGTGCTTCAAAAACTGTAGCCTTTGTTATTTGCTAATTGCATCCATTCAAATTACAATTTCGATTTGATTGCGATTCATCTTGCAGCCCTAAATGTCACACCACATCCATATCTACTGACATTTTATATTTTTTCCATCCTTGGGTAGTCATTTGTAGATACTGATGCTCTCCCCATTTCAAATCGTGCTTACAGTTCCCCTATTTCCAGTTCTAAAAAACATTACCAACATAACATTCCCTCGCTGCGATGCCCTGATTGAGAGATAATTTGTATTTTTTAGTGATCATAATGTAGTTACTTATTTTTGCGGTTTGTGTATTACGCGCTGGCTCCAAGTGGGAATTCTGTTCAGAAGGTCAAACCAGCATTAGCATTTCCTCACCGAACATTTCTCTGCTATTTCTAATTAATGACAACAAGATAATTAACACCCAAAAAAGTCGTCAGCCTTCACTGTGCTAATAACACAGACAATTACCTCTCACAACATCTCTGGCATTTAAGAATTCATTTGAGAATCCATTTTTTCTTGCACGCCAAATTACCGACAATTTAATCAAGGCTGAATATTGGGAAGTATTGGACATACACAAACACGCTAGTTGTTAACAGTTTCTCAAAGGGGGGGAAAGCTATTACAAAAAGCTACAAGCCCCCCGTGGTTACAGCTGGGATGGGAATTAGGACAGACTTGAGACACGCAAAGGGACATCGCACACGCATAAATAGACAAATTAGAAGAACGCTCGCAAAGTCCAACTGAAGATGACAACAAAAGATGATGAAGTGATTAAAAGGAAAACAGTGGTGGACCGTCGGAGGCAAAATTGGGATTCACACGGACGGGCTACTGTACTCTGGGTTTCCCACAGAGACACGGGCAGCATTCCCAAACTGGAATGGGCAGCTCACTGGACTGGAAGACTAACATTACTGCGGGAGGGCTCTGGATTAGATCAAGTCTGGGAATTTCACACTGAGATGAGGGGATGTGGAGAGAGGAAGAACGAAGAGACAAGCAAGCAGAGGAGGAGTGACTAATGCCCATAAGACTCATGCAATTAAGGCTAAAAGGTGACTGGATTATTAAGTTTTAAGGGTCACGCAAGAGTAGTGCAGTACGTTGGGTCCATATTTAAGTATTTGTGGACGTTAAAAGTCTGATGGATGGCAAAGATGGGTTTTTGATTGAATTCTCTAAACAAAAAAATCCAAAATCCCAAAAGGAAGGTGATCATTTTTGGCCATTTTTTTTTTTATTTCTTAAAGTCTTTCCAACTGTGACTGTCATATCGACTTCTGCTGCAACTTATTTTATAATGCAGTGGAAATTATTCGATCTATTCTATCTATTCTAAGTTCACTTGTGCTAAGAAACTGCAACTTCTTGAAGCTTGTACAAGTTATGGATTGGAAAAAGACAGACAATAAGAATAAACCACATCAAAACTATTGCATTTTGACAGCAACACCAGATTTGACCAAGAAATGCACTTTTGATGTAGCCAGGCTGACGCCACCTAGTGACTCTGCTTGATTTAATTTCTCTCCAGCGACAAGGTCAGGAATCAGAATACACTAAACGGGTCACAAAAACCCCAGAAGTGCGAGTTCAGGCACCAGCCAATCAGTGAAGAGCCATACATTCTGTGTTGGCAACGATTCCCGAGATTGAGGATTTAAAGTCGGAACAAAGAGAATGTTTCGTGAATTTTATCAAGGGGAAAGACATTATTGCCCTTCTTCCTTCGGGATTTGGAAAAAGCTTTATATACCAGTTAGCCCCATTTGCAGTGCATTACATACATCACAACCAAATAGCAGCGACTGGTTAAATAAAAAAAGTACCCGCCTACCATCGAGAGAACAAATTCTAATGCTGCAAGGTCAGACGGTTTCCACAAAACCAGCTGATGAATCAGGCTACTTTTGATGCACAGCTGGTTTTATTTAGTTTTTTGACACACAAGTAGGGCAAGGTATCATTAAGAAGTTGCAGGTACGATACACACCTCGATACATAGGCCATGATATAATACATATCTCGATACGATGTATTTCAAATTGATTCGATACGGTTCAATAAAAATAATGGCTATATCATGGCTGTGATACTAAAAGTCTTTGTTAAACCACTTCTTGCGCAAAGTTCATATGAAACACACCCATTTTAATCATCAAAACAGTGAAAATGTCAAGTGTGGTGCATAAACAAGTTTAAATGAGTTTCCTTCCTCTGAACAAGCAACAAAATTGTAGGGCTGTAACAAAATAATTTAGTAAAATATACCAAAAAATACTCTAATACTCTAATCCCCCATATTGATACTGTATTATCACATTAAACCATACAATATATCGCTATTTTGATATTTTTGCACACCTCTACACACAAATATGACATTTGCTAGAAGTGTATGTGTCAGCCTGGTTAGTAACCCAAAACAATCATTCTTAGCATGTTTGTCAGTTTAGGAAAAGTCACAGCACTGGTGGTTAGTTTTGGATAATGACAAAGAAAAACCAAAGTACCATAATAAAAAACTCTGTATTGTTTGCATGCACTATAATTTGAATGCGACGTATAAAAGTGGGTCTAGTCGTGCTTACAAGTTTAGGGATGAATGAGGAACGTGGAGTAGAGCAGCACAGCAGTAGTGACAGAAGTGAGAGCGGAGAGGTGAGAGGCGGGCGTTAAAAGAGCAGGATGAAAGGACGCGACGATGAAAGGGTGTAGGAAAGAAGGGATGGGGAGAGGAGAAGGGGAGAGGAGAGGAGGAGAGAAGACGAGTACTCACTGGACTCACAGCAAACGGTCACACGCAACTTCATACACGGGAGGGGAGGGCCTTCATCTGAGGGCAGAGCTGTGGAGAGAGAGAGAGACTGATAAACAAGTGGTGGCAACATTAAAAGAAAAGTAACGGTTAAGAAGTATACAACACGAGACTGTGAAAAGGTGTTTGAAAGAGTGCTTTGAAATAGTAGTTGTAAAGTAGAAGTAAATGTCAATGGAAAATACATTAGTGAACTTTACTTGTTGTTATGACTGCCACTGCTACAAGTACTACAATAGTAAAAACAACCTGCACTACTAAAACCGCTATGTTCTCTTGGAAATTTCTTCTATTTTTAAGCTAAAAAACTTTACTTCTAAATTTGATCTGAAAAAATGTGTTTTTCTTTACACTCGTGATGAACATTTAGTAGTAGTAGTGGTAATAGTTTTCATCACATTTACAAGCTATTTGTCCAGGGGAGTGAAATTTGTATTCAGTGCTACTATCTTCAGTGTTAGTATTTTTAAGTAGTAGTTTTTTTCACTCTGTTTTTGGGTAGTTTGTTCAGTATTTATTCTGTATTGAATTTTGTCTCTTGTCTGAAAACTAAATTATAAATAAACCTGCCAAAAATTTTTCCTCACACAGATGAAGTGTTTAAGGACATTCATCAATTCAGAAAAAAGCAAAATTACTAGAAAACCTGGACTCAGCATGCTGTTGATTTGAGATTGGACTATAAACTATCACTGAACAGTAACCATGGATACAGTATTATAAGTAGGGATGTAACAATATCCAAATCTCTCAATACGATATTTTCAGGATATGCATCCCATGGTACGATATTTATTTATTTATTTGGCGAAAAAGATACTGTGAATATGCTCCTTTTCTGTCATAATCCAAATAAATAAGATTTAAAAGTGCTTAATAACAGTTGTTTTATCATGTAGATTCGACTAAAACAGAGCAAAGGATCATGGTCTATGTAGTTCTGTCTGTTTATAAGCTGTTGCTGCACCATAACAACGAATTTAAGCAAAGAAACTTGCAAATCGATATATTGTGATGGTCCATGATATTATTGTGAGACTTTTGACGATACAGTATCACAATGTTTCAGTTATTGTTACATCTCTAATTATTAGTAATAGTTATTGGAGTAATAATATAAAGTATTTGTTGTTTGTTAATCCGTGTATCATTCATTCATTCATTCGTGTTTCAAAATAAAACAAAAAATATTCGGGGGGTTTTTCAGTTTTCGATTTTGTGTTTAAATGAATAATGGAAAAAATGAATAAAGGCCATTTCCATGACTTGAACTGCGATGCCGGAGTTTTACGCCGCATATGGACTGAACCAGAACTGAAACCAGGATTGAGACCAAGACTGAAACCAGGACCAGACTAGGACCAGACCAGGACAGAGACCGGGATCTGGTTTAGTTCTGGTTTAAACCTGGTTTAGTCCTGGTTCAGTCCTGGTTTAGATCTGGTTAAGTCCTGTTTTAGTCCTGGGATCACTCCTGGTTCAGTCGTAGTCCTGGTCTCAGTCTGGTCCTGGAAACGGGAAATGGCCATTATCCGTTTTTTCTATTATTCATTTAGACAAAAAATCAAAAACTGAAAAAAAAAATTAAAATCTTTATCTGTCTTTTAATTTTTTTCAGTTTTGGAGACAAATAATGAAAAAAAAAAACAGTAGTTTTTTTCGTTTTCTTATTTTTGGTTTTATTTTGAAACACAAATGAACGAAGGATACACAGATTTTTTTTGTATTACTGTGGCCCACATCTGAAAAAACTTTCTTTTAAAATTTCCATCAAATATCCATTACTGAAGACTCAATACATTACTGCAAAGCTTAATTGTAATTTCACTAAACTGATGTGATGTATGTAGCTGCTGGTACATAACTCAAGGCTCAGCTCACAGACCATTCACTGCTCATGACTTGAACAGGGGTAAACATGAGCTGTCACTTCTGTGTCTCTTTCACAAACTAATGTGCTTGATGTGCCGTTAAAGTCTTTATAGATCTGAATAATTCACAGACAGATGCTCCCTCTGCAGGCGCCTGTCTCACACGCTGAGTAACTGATCATCTCTACAGTCTGCCCCAGTCTGGATCAGGACCGGACCAGAGAGAGTCTACCACATGGAGATGGCAACAAAAACACAGCCAGACTAAAAAGTTACACAAGAGTACATTCAGAGGAAAAAGTAACAGTGTTTTCAAACATAATCTGGTGAGATTTGGTGATTCATCAGCGTGCCCCTAGTGGACAACACTAACCATGACAGGTGGCACGGTGGCTGCGTGACTATCCCTCCTGTCACTGCTCTCGCCTGTGTGAAGTTTGCATGTTTTCTTTGTGTTTAGGATGATTTCTTCCAGGCACTTTGGTTTCCCCATCAACCCAAAACATACACACTGTTAAATCCACTAGCTGAGGTAGTCCTGAGAAGAGATATAAATCCTTTGGCCGATATTTGCACTTTATCAGCCATCGACCTTAATTCTCCAGCAGAGGCAGATATTTTTTTTGGTCCAAACAGCTGCTTTAATATGCATTAGGGGTGTAGCAATATCCAAATCTCTCTATATGATATTTTCACAATATGCATCTCACGGTACGATATTTATTGCGATGTTTTGCGGAAGCTAATAAAACTGTGAATATGCTACTTTTCTGTAATAATCCAAATAATTCAGATTTGAAAGTGCTTAATAACAGTTGTTTTATCATGTAGATTGGACTTAAACAGAGCAAAGGATCATGGTCTATGTAGTTCTGTCTGTTTTTAAGCTGTTGCTGCACCACAACAATGGATTTAAGCAAAGAAACTTGTAATTCGATATATTGTGATGGTCCATGTTATTATTGTGAGACTTTTGACAGTACAGTATCATGATATTTTGATTATTGTTACATGCCTAATATGCCTGTAAAATATATGCATGTTGTTTTATCTAAACATTTTAATCAAAAAAATGTGAGTACACTGCTCTCTGAACCTCTAATCCAGTTTGCAATGAAACAAGATTATGGGTGAGTTTGAACTAAATTACTTTGATTTACAAATGTTACATATAACATTACACATTTGACCCCAAAATACCAGCAGAGCTTATCGTACATTCTCTGAATTCTAAACAATCGGTATTGGCATCATATTTGTCGAGTCCTGACTCCTGACCAAGCCAAGTTTAAAATCTGGAAATGGGCCTCTTGACAGGAGCAATGGGCAGGGACATTAAAGTACTTTACTTAGCCAAACATTTATGCATGGAGTACTTAGCAGGTAATGTTAAGATTACTGCCAACTAAACTTGTTGTAAATGTATTATTATAAATCATGTCCAAAAGCGTTTCTTTAACTGGCAGTGGTCATTTAAACCATTCATTTTTTTCTTGTAGTTCAAAACACACTACGTGTTTCCTGTCACACCAATGAGCCCTTTTGTTTTGACCATTTAAAGTGCTCTGATTCCTTGTCTGGTCAAATTGTTTTCATTCTTGAGCCAACAAATCTGTCTCCACATTACAATCTCACATATCAGAGGACGCCAAGGTGCTTCCTGTTTTTCAAGAATCCAGTGTTTTGGAGGATCTCGGGGTGTTTTCGGGGCAGAGACAGTTCACAGTTTGTCCGTTTCTGGGAGAGGAGTTTAGCTGCGGCGCTCAGACTGTGCCAAACTAATGCCATTATCGCTCCTAATACTATTGTGAAGCGCTCCCTGGGCTAATACCATTATACTGTCTCCAATGCGCGGCCCTCATTCAAACCCTCACCCCGGGGAGACACACTGAGAACAACTTTACGCCTTATCTTTGAAGTGGACAAAACGCTTACAATCGGTGGGAGCCCGAAGTGGCCCGGACAAGAGCGGGTGAGAGGGGGGACATGGGGGGACAGAGGGGGGAGAGGACATTGTCGCTTTTCCCTGAAGCGTCCCGAGCTGCTACAATAGGTCCATATGTGTGTGTATGGAAGTGTTCTCTCATGTCAGTACAATGCGCCTTTGTCCCCCACAGCACAACAGTAATTTATGTAAAGAATCTTTCTCCTTTGTTGCTTTCACTTTCCTCCCTCCGGCCTGAACCAAGCACAGCCCTCCCCGTCTGCTCTACTGTTAGTCTGGACCCAGAGTTCTTGTATTTTCTGATGTATGTTATAATGTTTCCTCATCAAAAATATGTGCAAAGTTGTGTTTTGCTTCACTCACACATGTTTAACACACAAAACCTGCATATTTAGTTCTTCTATCAAACAGACAACACTCTGTTCCACCTTGTGATGTCATGGGAAATAGAGGAAGTGCTCCACTGTGTTCTCCAAACACCTTCACTGGAATTATTTGGATAATTTTAGCTGTAAAATTGAAAAGGGAGGTGTAAACTTGAAAACTACGGGATCATGATGCCATTACAAGGTGGAACAGAACATTCTGAGCTTTAGAGATGTAGATAGACTAATAATAAAGGGTTACTCAAACATGCGTGGATGAAACAAAATGCAACTCCACGTATAAATAAAATAAAAATCAGCCATACTGTCACAGCATAATGTATGTCACATGGGACTTGAATAAAATGTCTGAGGCACACTGATATAAGACAAAAATAAAAGCCCTTTATTGTCACAACTGAGACGTCAACATGTTTTGACCTATGAGTTCTTCACCAGGGCTAAAAGTGAGTCACAGACAACAGGTTTTCTTATTAAGAGGCATCACGAGAGAGGGTCAGCCATAGACCCTGCATAAATTATTTTTAAAAACTACTAGATGTTATTAGTTTGTTTTATAGTTCTAAATAATGCACAAAGAATTCAGCAAGAATGGCAGAAATCTAAACCATATGCCAAAAACTCAACCCTATCATTGATTAATTTAGTCATGCACAGGAATGAAGGTGAGATTAAAAGGATGATGCAAATTGTATTTCTTCAAAGGTGCACTCTTGTTGAGGGTATGCACCACATGCTTGTTTCTAAGGGGAATTACAGATGTTTTAATTGCTCAAAAACTAAAACAAAAATCTGCATGAAAGATCTTGCTGTGAGCAGGGTTGATCAATGTTATTTTTGCCAGCTCACAACACCTGGCATGACTTTTCAACTCCTGCAAAAAAGTTTGAGGAAAAACAAGTCACGCATTTTACAGCCCCCTCCTCCAGTCTGTTTCCTCTTCTCTCCAATTCTGAGGTGTAAAATAAATATGAGCACAACTGAAGGAACCGTGCTTGGAAAATATGCTGCCGACACGACCAAACAAACCTGGAAGATATCACATATACAATACAATGTGTGTTCAGAAAGTTTATAGACAGAAGGATTTGCATTTGACTGTATGTGTGCTTAGTGTATACATTGTAATGTATGTAGCCTTGCAGCAGTGTATAAACACAAAAGGGCAGTATTTTTAATATATAGTATAATTTTAAATAAGTCAAATAGAATCCGTGTATCTTTCGTTCATTCAGTTTTCAATAATTCAAAAATAAGAAAATGAAAAAAAAAAACACTTTTTTCTTCATTATTTATCTCCAAAACCAAAATGAACAAACAGGAAACGATTTGTTTTTTCGGTTTTGGATTTTGTGTTTAAGTCAATAATCATCATAATCATACGGACTAAACCAGGACTAAACCAGGACTAAACCAGGTCCGGAACCAGACCGGAACCAGATCAGGACTGAGACCAGAACTTTGACCGGGACCAGACCAGGACTGAGCCTGGGACCAGAACCAGGACTGAGACTGGGACTGAGACCAGAACTGAAGACTGGGACTAGACCAGAACTGAGACCAGGACTGAGACCAGTAACAGGACCAGGACTGAGACTGGGAACAGGAACAGGACTGAGACTGGCACTGAAACCGAGACCAAACCAGGACTGAGCTCAGGACTGAGGCCTGAATCATACCAGGACCAGACTGTAATTGAGACAGAGACTGAGATCAGGACCAGACCGGGACTGAGACCGGGACCAGACCAGGACCGTGACCACGACTGTGACCGGGACTGAGACTGGGAACAGACCAGGGCTGAAAACCGTTTAGTCCTGGTTTAGTCTTGTTTTAGTCCTGGTTCAGTCCTGGTTCAGTCCTGGTTCAGTCCGTATGTGGTGCAAAAGTCTGGCATCACAGTTTAAGTCACAGAAAAGGGAAACAGCTGTTATCTTTTTTTTTTTTTTTTTTTTCCCCATTATTTATTTAAACACGAAATCAAAAACTGAAAAAAAAAATGAATCGTTATCCTTTTTTTCATTGGTTTTGGAGACAAATAAAAATTAATTTTTGTTATTTTTATTTTAATATTGAAAAATTTATGAACGAATGATACACTGATTTTTTATCACTAACAGTCCAACTCTCTCATTGCTCCAGTTGGCTCTATGTTATTCCCAGTATCAAAATGACCCCACAGTCGTTAATGAGCCTCTCCCAGCCCCTCCGCTGGTGTACTTGTACTTACAGCTGTAGTAGTAGTGGTGTCCTGGCAGGAACTCAAAGCCCAGGGAGAAGGGCGTGAAGCGCTGGATCTTCTCTGAAAAGCGCACCGGTCCAAAGGGGGCGTACGGGGTATTGCACTCCCACCTCTTGATGGCCCCTCTAGTCTCCACGCAGCCCTGGAAAGATGGCTGCCCGATCAGGTACAGGGCCAGGGTCTCAGGCTGGTGCTGTTGCTGCTGCTGGGGGCCTCCTGTCTCCTGGTCGGGATAATGAGGGCAGTAGATGTCCAGGTAATCATTCAGGTTCACTTGGATGGTTAATTCCCCTGAGGTCAATCTGAAACACAGAGGGAATCCATTAGAATACATGAATCTCTTAATATACACCGATTTATATATGTGGCATTATTCAAACCGGAAGACTGGAATGCACAATGTCTTTGGAGCGGATGTGGATGTGGTCGGATTATTAACATATCCGTGAACAATAAGGCAATGATGGCAAATTCTATGATAGTTTTGCAAATGTCTTAAAAGTTGTAAACAAACATTTTTGAATATTTATAGATGTGATTCATCATAAAGATTTGCATTTGTGGGCAGCAGAATACAAAGAGAACTTGTCATGCTCTCACTTAACGGCCACAGCAAGTCAAGTGTGCTTTAAAAGTCCCATAAAAAAACGCAAAATGGACTCTTGTGAGCTTTAAGCCGTGTGAGAATGTCGTTACCTCACCAAAAACAGACCTGGACTTGTGTTTTGTTTCATTCGCATATGCTTGAGTAACTTTATTATTAGTCTGTCTACATCTCCAAAGCTCAAAATGCTCTGTTCCAGTTTTTAGCCACTTTTTACCTTTAGTTCAGTTCAGAGTTTAACAATTACAGGGCTCAACTTATCCAAATGATTCTAGTGACGGTGTATGGAGTTTAAAAACACAGTGGAGTGAGGTTTGTGTGTTAAACATGTGTGAATGAAACCAACATAACTTCAGAAAATAGCGTAATATGAGCCCGTTAAATGGTCTTACTTAGGGTTTTGCAATATTGACAAGAATTGTATGTATTTCTGTATATTTTTTACCACCCCATAACAATAATCACATTTTGCAATTTATTAGAACTGTGCTAAAACATGATGCAAATGTCTTGGTGATGTTCAAGATCAAAATAGGAATACAAAAGTGCAAACATGTCGCATTAAAACTGTGTTCAGGGGTGTAGTGGGTGTGGTACGCGGGGATATGCTGTCCACCCACTTCTCCCGACGTGAGATATAAAAAAGTAACAAAAATAAAATAGCTACAACTAAAATGTCAAACCGAGAGATATTGGCAATAATGAAAATAACCTGTATAACCTCATGATATCTGCAGTACTGTCCTATAGAGACCTGTGACTTGAGGGACCAGGTCTGATCCCAGGACTGAACCAGGACTAAACTAGGACTAAACCAGAAATGAACCAGGATTGAGTGTCGGGACAGGCCTGGAGGTGTGCCCGCGTAGAACGTTGGGTGACCACAGGCGAAAGGACCAGCGCAGAGCTCCACAGCCCACGGGACTAAACGCAGCCGCCACCCAATTGCGCTTTGTGGACACCCTGCTCCATGGGCTCTCACTCTCAAGTCCAAGATTAGTCCTAGTTTAGACCTGGTTTAGACCTGGTTTAGTCTTGATTTAGTCCTGGTTTAGTCCTACTTCAGTCCTGGTTTAGTCTTGGTTTAGTCCTGGTTTAGTCCTGGTTTAGATCTGGTTTAGACCTGGTTTAGTCCTAGTTCAGTGCTGAATAATCTTTGTTTAGTCCTGGTTTAGTCCTACTTCAGTCCTGGTTTAGTCCTGGGTTAGTCCTGGTTCAGTCTTGGTTCACTCCTGGTTTAGTCCTGGCTTAGACCTGGTTTAGACCTGGTTTAATTCTGATTTAGACCTGGTTTAGTCCTGGTTTTAATCCTGGTTTAGTCCTAGTTCAGTCCTGATTTAGACCTGGTTTAGACCTGGTTTAATCCTGGTTTAGACCTGGTTTAGTCCTGGTTTAGTCTTGGTTTAGACCTGGTTTAGTCCTGGTTTAGTCCTGGTTCAGACCTGGTTTAGTCCTGGTTCAGTCCTGGTTTAGTCCTGGTTCAGTCCTGGTTTAGTCCTGAGTTAGTCCTAGTTCAGTCCTGATTCAGTCCTGGTTTAGTCCTGGTTTGGTCCTGGTTCAGTCCTGGTTTGTTGTTGTTTAGGTTTGTTGTTGTTGTTTTTCATTAGATCTTGTGCAGTAGTTTTCTTATTATAGAATATACTTGATATTCTAAGTTTGCATTCCCCAAAACTAAAATATTGATATTATCTTGTAGATTCTGGTTGATTTCAATGTGACTGATGTCTCGCCTAAGGACACAATAACTTTCCACTACAGCCACTGCTTCCTCACTGTAGAACCTGCTATTCCCCAGCGGCCTCCTATTCAAATACTGAGCAGGCCCAACTCTGCTTTGCTCCTGAGATCAGACGGGAACTTAGAGTCTAACTTCAGTGCGGATTTGAGTATGCATGAACAGACAGGCCTTCAGACAAGCTTTAAGAAAGAAAATGACTCTGGACAGGACAACAGCGCTAGTTTAGTTTAGACACATCTTCAACTTGTAGAAAGAGGAGCTATGAAAACTAACAAGTGAAGAAGCGACTACAAGAGAGTAAAAACGAGGACAAAGTCAGGTACGCTTGTAAGAATCATAACAGTAAGAAAAATGGCAAGACGCTGACAGTGACGCAGGACAGGTCCCTTAGAATGACTCAAGAAAAATGAGCGGAGGAAATCAGGTTGAGGCCTAAAGACGAGACAAAAAAATAAAGTTAAAAAGTTGCAAGAGCAGGTGTAAAGTGCAGAAAAGAAAGTTTAAAAGTGTTTTAATTAGTGACCCCTGAGAGTCTGACGCCGACATGTGGAGAAGGGAAAGGAGAGGAGATTTAATTGGGCTCGTCCTGGTCTGAGAATGAAGAGAGGGGCAGGAGGGGGCCGGGGTTCAAGTCGGAAAGAAAGAGGAGGGACAGAAAGGTGACAGAAAAGAGGAGAGGAGGAAAAGAGAGGGCGAGGAGAAAGAGAGAGACACAGAGATGAAATGAGACATGGATAAGGAAACAGACAGGGAGAAAAGGAGGAGAGAGTTAAGAATTGAGATAACAGGGGGAGAGGTAATGAAGAGGAGGAGAGAAGAGGAGAAGAGGAAGAAGAAATAGAGAGAGAGAGAGCGATAGAGAGATAAGAGATGAACGAGGACATAGACAGGAGGAAAGAGAGAAGAGCTAGAGCAAAGAATAGAGAGAGAAGGAGAGGTAGAGAGGAGAGCAAAGGAGAGTGAATAAAGATAGGAAAGAGTATAAGGGACAAGAAAGAATAGAAAAAGACTGAAAGAAAGAAGGAAGAAGGGAGAGTAAGAGAAGAGAGAGAACAACAGCTGTGAGAGAAGAGGAAAAGCAGAAGGAAGGGGAGAAAGAATGAACTTCCTTTGAGTGAAAGATGAATTGAAAGAAAGTGGGAGAACAGAAAGAAAGAAGCGGGAGAGAGAAAGAGAAAAGAAAAAGAGAGAAAGGAGTGCTGCTGGGATTCAGTGGAGAGGAAAGAGGGGTGAGCAGAGGGGAAGAGGAGGCCGAGTGGTCTGAAGTTAAGTAGACAGACAGAAGACACAGAACAAAAGGGCTGGGAATTCATTTATATTTGAAGTAATATCTCCAAAGTTTAACATAACACCTGTCGCTTTTGGACACAGCAATATGTGTCAGCAAAACTTTTTAGACTTGAATTTTAATATATTGTTTTTACCACTAAAAAAGCTGAATTGCAGTGTCAGGGTAAAAGATAATAAGGACTATACCATAACTACACTACCAGTCAAAAGTTTTACAACACCACACTTTTTCCAGTTTTTTACTGTTTACTGTTTTGTTTGTTGACCAAAACGTATTCTAAACTTTTGATTCATGAAAGTGTCCACCTTTGGCAGATATAACAGCTGAACACACTCGTGGGTCGTTCTTTTTACAATAGAAATCAAATATTCTTCAGAAAGTTCTTCCCAAGTCTGTTGCAGAAGTTCTCATAAATGTGTGGCACTTGTAGATTGCTTGGCTTTTAGTTTTCTGTCCAGTTCATCCCAAACCAGCTCGATGGGGTATTTTCCGGACTATAAGTCGCTCCAGACTATAAGTTGCACCAGCCAAAAAATGTGCAATGAAGAAGAAATGTATTTTATAAAATCAGAGACCAGGAACCGATATTTCATCTTGAAAGGCGAGTTATAGTGATAACAACAGAATAGAGAACAACAGGCTGTTAACGTCACATATGAACAGTTCTTCAGATAAACTATAGCATAAACAACAGAACAGAACATGTTTACCAAACTCTCCATCTCACTCCAAACTAAATCACTAAATCCATTGAATTCTTCATCCTTGGTGTCACTTGTGAGCAACTCCGTGACTTCAGGAGGTAAACAGAGTGTCGCTTCCTCTTCAGCGTAGCTGTCGTCAGACTCAGCATCGGTTCCAGTTAGAATTATTCCAGCTTTTCTGAATCCCGACAGGATGGTTTCTGTTGTCACTAAAGTCCAGGCTTTGTCAGTGTATCCAGTGACTTCCAGGAAAGTTGCATGGTGCACCCTCCTGCTGGTCACAAGTTTCTCGCTCACTCCAAACTTTCTTTCTGCTGCTCGATTATCATTTTTGGCTGAATATTTCACTATTTGCAGCAGGACAGTGACTCTTTCTGCAGGAGACATGTGCAGTAGATCCAAGTGACAGTGGTACAGGAGTAATAGGGGTAGTAGATACTGACACACAAGTCTAGAGCGCCCTCCCAAGGCTGTCAGTGTGAAAATTTTAATATATAAGTCACACCGGAGTATAAGTCGCAGGAAACACCCAAACCATGAAAAAAATTGCGAGTTATAGTCTGAAAAATACGGTAAGTCTGGAGACTGTGCTGGACACTCCATGTTTTCAAGTTTATCATGTTGTTCTTTTGTCCTTAGTTAGTTTTGGCCGACCTTGGACTTGTGTTTTGTTATCTTTTATCTTTTTTTTTTTTTTTTTAAACTCTGGCTGTTCAGTTCTTACCACTGTACCATTTCAAGCTTTTCATTGGACTTACATGACTTAAATTGCAATAAATAACTGGAAACATTAGGGTGTTCTAAAACTTTTGAACTGTAGTGTATATTTTCCACTTTTTTCACCGTGTATGCAATTGACATAAAACACATCAAACTTTTATGTGGGCATTCCATTCTTATGTCATGTTTTGTCACATTGCATTTAATGTATATCACATTAAATGTCAAATATGCAGAAAAAAGCC